TATAGATTAGGCAGTAAGGACGAGGCTGCAGGCCACAGCTCACCCTGCAGAGAGCCAGCCCCGGGCTATGTTGGTGCGGGGCGGGGGTGGGGGTGGTGCTGGGGAGAGCGGGTAGGGGGTCCCCCCCCCACTGCAGCCACGCATCTTTCTAAAGTGTAGACTGTAGTGTTAGGAAGAAACTACTACAGGATTTGAGCTTTGGTTGGGTGGCTCCAGGGAGAGTTTAAGGATCTGGGAGTTTGCTCTAGAGTGGGTGCTGTCAGGAAGCAGGGACGATTCTAGGATCCGGGCTCTTAATAAATCTTATCTATACGGAGGACAGACTGGAGAGAAGCTAAGGCTGTAATTGGTACAGAAGCAGCCGTCACTCACATTCGCCAAGAGAGGGATAGATCTGGCATCTTGTGGCCTGGACCACGTTCCTGTTGTCCTGTTCCATCACCATCCCGGAGCGACCTCGGCCGATGTTGCTGTTCTGTGAAATTGTTATCTCAACGGGAGAACAGCAAGGCCAGCTGATTGTGCCAGGTCAGCAAGTGTACATTTGGTGCTGCTCCTCTCGTTCTCAAAGCTGTGAAGGTTGTTTGATATTCAAGGTGGAAGTAAGGTCTAGGAAAAAGCAAAACTTGACCCTGACCAGCTTCGGAACGTGATCAAATGTCAAAGGCACAACCTCTCCTGGCTGCCTTTATGCCTGGACCTGGCTGTTTCTGGACTACATCTTGAACAGCTGAGAATTCTTCCCTGTTATTTATTTATTTATTATTATTATTATTTTTTTCCCGTACGCGGGCCTCTCACTGCCGTGGCCCCTCCCGTTGCGGAGCACAGGCTCCGGACGCGCAGGCTCAGCGGCCATGGCTCACGAGCGCAGCCGGTCTGCGGCATATAGGATCTTCCTGGACCGCGGCACGAACCCGTGTCCGCTGCATCAGCAGGCGGACTCTCAACCACTGCGCCACCAGGGAAGCCCTCTTCCCTGTTATTTTAAATAGCTTCATTGAGGTATAGTTCATATGCCATGAAATCCACACATTTAAAGGGTACAGTTCAATGGCTTTAGTATGTTCACAGATAATGTCAACCGTCACTACTATCTAATCCCAGAACATTTTTTCTTTTCTTTTCTTTTTTTTATGGCTGAGTTGTACAGCTTGCAGGATCTTAAGTTCCCCGATCAGATATCGAAGCCAGGCCCCCGCAGTGAAAGCACTGAGTCCTAACCACTGGACCCCCAGGGAATTCCCAGAACATTTTCATTGCTCCAAACAGAAGCCCCTACCAGGGGTGAAGGCGGGGAAGGGATAAGTTGGGAGATTGGGATTGACATATACACACTACTATATATAAAATAGATAACTGGGAATTCCCTGGCGGTCCAGTGGTTAGGACTCTGCATTTCCACTGCAGGGGGCATGGGTTTGATCCCTGGTTGGGGAACTGAGATCCCACATGCCGTGAGGTGTGGCAAAATAAAATAAAATAAAATAAAAAATAATGAATAAGGACCTACTCTATAGCCCAGGGAACTCTACTCAATACTCTGTAATGGCCTATATGGGAAAACAATCTAAAAAAAATGAATATACATATATGAATAACTGATTCACTTTGCTATACAGCAGAAACTAACACAACATTGTAAATCAACTATACTCCAATGAAAATTTAAAAAAAAAAAGAAGCCCTGTTAGCAGTCACTTCCTATTTCCTCCACCACAGACCGAGGAAACCACTAATCTACTCTCTGTCTCTATGGACTTGCCTACTTTGGACATTTCATATAAATAAAATCATACAATGCATAGCCTTCTGTGACTGGCTTCTTTCACTTAGCCTAATGTCTTCAAGGACAATCCTTGTTGCAGCAGGAATCAGTACTCTATTCCTTTTCATGGCTGATAATGTTCCATCAGAGGGATAGACTACATTTTGTTTATACATTCATCTGTCAATGAACTCCTGGGGTCAATGGGCTTTCCCTGTGGTTTGCTTGTGGTAAAAACAGTACGTTCCTTCTGGAAGCTCAAGTCACTTTGTAGGAACATTTACCTCCTCATAGAACTCCTTGTTTCTCAGAGCTGAACCAGGCTCCAGAAGAGAGTGGGAAAGAAAAGGGAAAAGGGCTGGAATTCCCTGGCTGCCCAGTGGTTAAAGCTCCATGCTTCCACTGCAGGGGGCACGGGTTCAATCCCTGGTCGGGGAACTAAGATCCCACACGCTGCGAGGTGCGACCAAAAGTAAAAAAAAGAAAAAAAGAAAAGGGAAAAGGGCTTTATCGAGCCGAGAAGCTCACAGCCATTCTGTGTGCCAGTCCCACCTGCAAAGATGAAGTGCAGTCCAAAGTGCAAAGATAAATTAGGACAGGAGACGCTGCCCTCAAGGAGTTCATAGTCCAGTGAGTAGAGAGGGTACATGTGTTGTTTTGCCTGTCAGGATCCATCCTATTTTTCTGATTTTCCTTGGGGGAACCACCCTTCTCTTGCTCTCTGGTTCCCAGGAAGGAGAAACCAGGGCCTGACCAATCAGCACCGTCCAACCCGTGGGGCTAGTGGTTCGCTCAGGGGTGGGCATTGACTTCAGACAGTCCAATGAGATTCCATCACACTTTTACTGGACCTCTTGAAAAAGGCAAATTTTTGTTTTGGTTGGTTGTTTTTTCCTATTGGGTTGCTGAGAAAATAGGCTGGAAGCCTGGGGCTCTTGGTGGCCATCTTGCCATGATTTGGGGAGAGCCAGTATGGGTAAGAGGTCAACAGGGAGGAAAGCAGGGCTAAGAGACGGGAGAGCAAACCACATCCTGGGATGTCATTTGAGCAGCTGGGTCAAGCTGTGCCTCATTTTTCGCTACCTCTAGGCTTTTCAGCTATATGAAACAATAATTTTTAAGAACTAATAAAAAAAATTAATTGTGGCAATGGTTGCACAACTCTGTGACTATAACTAAAACCATTGAATTGTACACTTTAAAATGGGTGAATTATATGGTATATAAATTATATCTGAATAATAAAAAAATAAAATAACACAAGGTAAGGACTATGATAGGACCATTCACAGGATTGAAACCCAAAGTAAGAACAGGTCAGTCTGGGGAAAGGAGAAGGCAAGCAGCCTGCCTGAGGAAATATTACTCCATTTTACAGATGAGAAACTAAAGACCCTCCCAGAAAGGAATTGAGTGTGAGCATTTGAGTGAGTGACAGGGCTAAGAATTAAAGGGATTCGTACTTTCTAGCCCATGACCTAGTCTCTGAAAACATAGTCTCTACTTACATGCTGTCAAAATTTCTAAGCCGTGCCACCAATTAATTGACCTAAATTATTTTAAAGCATTTATAGCATCGAGCCTGCTCACCACAAACATCTCCAAACAGACATGGGGGAAGTCTTTGTAGCTGTAATGTCTCTTGTTTTGGATTTCCAGAGTTTGTTAAAACTCTTCCACAGCTCAAACTGGCTTAAGCAAAAAAGTTATATAAATAAGGAGTCCAGCATGTGGACTTCAAGCACAGCTGGATCCAGGGGCTCAGCTACGTCGTCTGACTTCTGCTATTCTCTGCCCCTCAGCTCCAGGTTTGCACCATGTTGATGCCACTCTCGTGCAGGCTCTCGACACATGGTGGCCAAGGTAGCATTCAGGACCTCTAGGATTACATCCTACCTGTTCAGTGACCTCAGAAAATGCAGTGGATTTCCATTGCGTATCATTGGCTCAGCTTGGGACACATGCCCACTCCTGGACCAATCACTGTACTTAGGGACATGGATGTTGCTGATTGGTCAGGCTTAGCGCCAGAGGCTGGGGGCAGTCCATCTGAGTGGCATGGGATAAGATAGGAGGGAGGAGAATCCTCTTACAGAGGGGAGAATGGATGTTGAGCAGACAAAGTAAAAATCAATATTTAGTTTGGGACCAGGAAGCTGATAGTACTTGCTCACACTGTAGAAAAATAGCCATCTGACAAAATTGATATTAAAAACTTTCTTTTTAATACTTCAATTTCACCTTCATGACCTGGACTATCCTTTTCTTTTCACTTAATTATCCAAATCTTCAAGTATTGTTCCTCTCTCTTCACTAATATCCTCACCAGTGGCTCCTGGGATCAAGAATGGCCCCCTTCTGGGACTTCCCTGGCAGTACAGTGGTTAAGACTCTGCTTCCAATGCAGAGGGTGCAGGTTCAATCCCTGTTTGGGGAGCTGGGATCCCACATGCCTCGTGGCATGACCATGAAAAAAAAATAAAAAGAATGGCTCCCTTCTGTTCTGTAGCATTTTCTACTTGGATTACCCGCTTCAGCCTGTAATTAATTACTTCCACGTATCGTTCCCTGTGTGTATGCAGAACCCATCACAGGGGCCCAGGGTCATGTGACCCAGCCTTCACATTCAGCCACAGCCTCACATTTAGACTTTTCATTTTTACATAAGCTAATTTGCCATTGTGTTTACCATTCAGGACAGGAGTTTGTATCAGTCAGAAAATAGAACTCACTTGAGGTCTTTCCAGCAGAAAGTTTTAATGTAGGAAACTGGTTAAACAGATGCATAAGTTACCTACTGCTGTGTAACAAGTTGCCCCAAAACTAAGTGGCTTAAAACAACAATAATCATTATCTTTCTTTTTAAAAAAATGAATAAATTTATTTTATTTATTTATTTTTGGCTGTGTTGGGTCTTTGTTGCTGCACGCGAGCTTTCTCTAGTGGCGGTGAGCAGAGGCTACTCTTCGTTGCAGTGGATGGGCTTCTCATTGTGGTGGCTTCTCTTGTTGCCGAGCACCGGCTCTAGGCACGTGGGCTTCAGTAGTTGTGGCTTGCAGGCTCTAGAGCGCAGGCTCAGTAGTTGTGGTGCATGGGCTTAGCTGCTCTGCAGCATGTGGGATCTTCCCGGACCAGGGCTTGAACCTGTGTCCCTTGCATTGGCAGACGGATTCTTAACCACTGTGCCACCAGGGAAGCTCATAATAATCATTATCTTTCATACTTTCTGTAGATCCGGAATTCAGGAGCACTTTGGCTGAGTGGTCCTGATACAGGATCTCTCAGGAGATTGCAGTCAAGATATTGGCAGGGACTGCAGCATCTGAAGACTTAACTGGGTCTGGAGGAGCCATCTCCATGATGGTGCCCTCACATTGCTGTTGATGGGAGGCCTGAGTTTCTCTCTGTGTGGGCATCTCCCAGAGCTGCTTGAGTGTCCTCATGACATGGTAGATGGCTTCCCCCAGAGGAAGTGAGTCAAGAGAACAAGAAAGAAGATAGCAGAAGCAAGAACTACAATTCTGCAGCCTGTGGAAGGAAAACCACATTCACATAGAGATTGACAAAATGAAAAGGCAGAGGACTTTGTACCAGATGAAGGACCATGATAAAACCTCAGAAAAACAACTAAATGAAGTGGAGATAGGCAACCTTCCAGAAAAAGAATTCAGAATAATGATAGTGAAGATGATCCAGGACCTCGGAAAAGCAAAGGAGGCAAAGATCGAGAAGATGCAAGAAACGTTTAACAAAGACCTAGAAGAATTAAAGAACAAACAGACAGAGATGAACAATACAATAACTGCAATGAAGAATCAATAGCAGAATAACTGAGGCAGAAGAACGGATAAGTGACCTGGAAGACAGAATGGTGGAATTCACTGCCACCGAACAGAATAAAGAAAAAAGAATGAAAAGAAATGAAGACAGCCTGAGACCTCTGAGACAACATTAAATGCAAAAACATTCTCATTATAGGGGTCCCACAAGGAGAAGAGAGAGAGGAGGGACCCGAGAAAACATTTGAAGAGATAATAGTCGAAAACTTCCCTAACGTGGGAAAGGAAATAGCCAATCAAGTCCAGGAAATGCAGAGAGTCCCATACAGGATAAACCCAAGGAGAAACACGCTGAGACACGTAGTAATCAAATTGACAAAAATTAAAGACAAAGAAAAAGTATTGAAAGCAACAAGGGAAAAATGACAACATACAAGGGAACTCCCATAAGGTTAACAGCTGATTTCTCAGCAGAAACTCTACAAGCCAGAAGGGAGTGGCATGATATACTTAAAGTGATGAAAGGGAAGAACCTACAACCAAGATTACTCTACCCGGCAAGGATCTCATTCAGACTTGATGGAGAAATCAAAAGCTTTACAGACAAGCAAAAACTAAGAGAAATCAGCACCACCGAACCAGCTCTACAACAAATGCTAAAGGGACTTCTCTAGGCAGGAAACACAAGAGAAGGAAAAGACCTACAATAAGAAACCCAAAACAATTAAGAAAATGGTAGTAGGAACATACATATCGATAACTACCTTAAATGTAAATGGATTAAATGCTCCAACCAAAAGACATAGATAGACTGGCTGAATGGATACAAAAACCAGACCCATATATATGCTGTCTACAAGAGACCCACTTCAGACCTAGGGACACATACAGACTGAAAGTGAGGGGATGGAAAAAGATATTTCGTGCAAATGGAAATCAAAAGAAAGCTGCAGTAGCAATACTCATATCAGATAAAATAGACTTAAAATAAAGAATGTTACAAGAGACAAGGAAGGACACTACATAATGATCAAGGGATCAATCCAAGAAGAAGATATAACAATTATAAATACATATGCACCCAACGTAGGAGCACCTCAATACATAGAGAACTGCTAACAGCTATAAAAGAGGAAATCGACAGTCACACAATAATAGTGGGGGACTTTAACACCTCACTTATACCAATGGACAGATCATCCAGACAGAAAATTAATAAGGAAACACAAGCTTTAAATGACACAATAGACCAAATAAATTTAATTGATATTTATAGGACATTCCATCCAAAAACAGCAGATTACAATTTCTTCTCAAGTGCACACGGAACATTCTCCAGGATAGATCACATCTTGGGTCACAAATCGAGCCTCGGTAAATTTAAGAAAATTGAAATCATATCAAGCATCTTTTCCGACCACAACGCTATGAGATTAGAAATGAATTACAGGGGAAAAAACGTAAAAAACACGAACACATAGAGGCTAAACAATACGTTACTAAATAACCAAGAGATCACTGAAGAAATCAAAGAGGAAATCAGAAAATACCTAGAGACAAATTACAATGAAAACACGATGATCCAAAACCTATGGGATATAGCAAAAGCAGTTCTAAGAGGGAAGTTTATAGCAATACAAGCCTACCTCAAGAAACAAGAAAAATCTCCAATAAACAATCTAACCTTACACCTAAAGGAACTAGAGAAAGAAGAACAAACAAAACCCAAAGTTAGCAGAAGGAAAGAAATCATAAAGATCAGAGCAGAAATAAATGAAATAGAAACAAAGAAAACGATAGCAAAGATCAATAAAACTAAAAGTTGGTTCTTTGAGAAGATAAACAGAATTGATAAACCTTTAGCCAGACTCATCAAGAAGAAGAGGGAGAGGACTCAAATCAATAAAACAAGAAATGAAAAAGTAGTTACAACAGACACCGCAGAGATACAAAGCATCCTAAGAGACTACTACCAGCAACTCTATGCCAATAAAATGGACAACCTGGAAGAAATGGACAAATTCTTAGAAAGGTATAACCTTCCAAGACGGAACCAGGAAAAAATAGAAAATATGAACAGACCAATCACAAGTAATGAAATTGAAACTGTAATTAAAAATCTTCCACCAGGGGCTTCCCTGGTGGCACAGTGGTTAAGAATCCGCCTGCCAATGCAGGGGACACAGGTTCGAGCCCTGGTCCAGGAAGATCCCACATGCCGTGGAGCACCTAAGCCTGTGCGCCACAACTACTGAGCCTGAACTCTAGAGCCCATGAGCCACAACTACTGAAGCCCGCGCGCCTAGAGCCCATGCTCTGCAACAAGAGAAGACACTGTAATGAGAAGCCTGTGCACTGCAACAAGGAGTAGCCCCTGCTCTCCACAACTAGAGAAAAGCCCCTGCGCAGCAACAAAGACCCAATGCAGCCAAAAATAAATAAATAAAATAAATTTATTTAAAAAAATATGGCTTAAAAAAAATCTTCCAAAAAACAAAAGTCCAGGACCAGATGGCTTCATAGGTGAATTCTATCAAACATTTAGAGAAGAGCTAGCACCCATCCTTCTCAAACACTTCCAAAAAATTGCAGAGGAAGGAACACTCCCAAACTCATTCTACAAGGCCACCACCCTGATACCAAAACCAGACAAAGATACTACAAAAAAAGAAAATTACAGACCAATATCACTGATGAATATAGATGCAAAAATCCTCAACAAAATACTAGCAAACAGAATCCAGCAACACATTAAAAGGATCAAACACCATGATCAAGTGGGATTTTGCCCCAGGGATGCAAGGATTCTTCAATATATGCAAATCAATCAATGTGATACACCATATTAACAAATTGAAGAATAAAAACCATATGATCATCTCAATAGATGCAGAAAAAGCTTTTGACAAAATTCAACACCCATTTATGATAAAAACTCTCCAGAAAGTGGGCATAGAGGGAACCTACCTCAACATAATAAAGGCCATATATGACAAACCCACAGCAAACATCATTCTCAATGGTGAAAAACTGAAAGCATTTCCTCTAACATGAGGAACAAGACAAGGATGTCCACTCTCATCGCTATTATTCAACATAGCTTTGGAAGTCCTAGCCTCGGCAATCAGAGAAGAAAAAGAAATAAAAGGAATACAAATTGGAAAAGAAGAAGTAAAACTGTTGCTGTTTGCAGATGACATGATACTATACATACAGAATCCTAAAGATGCCACCAGAAAACTACTACAGCTAATCAATGAATTTGGTAAAGCTGCAGGATATAAAATTAATGCACAGAAATCTCTTGCATTTCTATACACTAATGATGAAAAATCTGAAAGAGAAATTAAGGAAACATTCCCATTTACCATTCCAACGAAAAGAATAAAATACCTAGGAATAAACCTATCTAAGGAGATAAAAGACCTGGACTCAGAAAACTATCAGACACTGATGAAAGAAATCAAAGATGATACAAACAGATGGAGAGATATACCATGTTCTTGGATTGGAAGAATCAATACTGTGAAAATGACTATACTACCCAAAGCAATCTACAGATTCAATGCAATCCCTATCAAATTACCAGTGACATTTTTTACAGAACTAGAACAAAAAATCTTAAAATTTGTATAGAGACACAAAAGACCCCAAATAGCCAAAGCAGTCTTGAGGGAAAAAAATGGAGCTGGAGGAATCAGACTCCCTGACTTCAGACTATACTACAAAGCTACAGTAATCAAGACAATATGGTACTGGCACAAAAACAGAAATATAAATAAATGGAACAGGATAGAAAGCCCAGAGATGAACCCATGCACCTATGGTCAACTAATCTATGACAAAGGAGGCAAGGATATACAATGGAGAAATGACAGTCTCTTGCATAAGTGGTGCTGGGAAAACTGAACAGCTACATGTAAAAGAATGAAATTAGAACACTCCCTAACACCATACACAAAAATAAACTCAAAATGGATTAGAGACCTAAATGTAAGACCGGACACTATAAAACTCTTAGAGGAAAACATAGGAAGAACACTCTGACATAAATCACAGCAAGATCTTTTTTGATCCACCTCCTAGAATAATGGCAATAAAAACAAAAATAAACAAATGGGACCTAATGAAACTTAAAAGCTTTTGCACAGCAAAGGATACTACAAACAAGATGAAAACACAACCCTCAGAATGGGAGAAAATATTTGCAAATGAATCAACGGACAAAGGATTAATCTCCAAAATATATAAACAGCATATGCAGTTCAATATTAAAAAAACAAACAACTCAATCAAAAAATGGGCAGAAGACCTAAATAGATATTTCTCCAAAGAAGACATACAGATGGCCAAGAAGCACATGAAAAGCTGCTCAACATCACTAATTATTAGAAAAATGCAAATCAAAACTATAGTGAGGTGTCACCTCACACCAGTTAGAATGGGCATCATCAGAAAATCTACAAATGACAAATACTGGAGAGGGTGTGGAGAAAAGGGAACCCTCTTGCACTGTTGGTGGGAATGTAAATTGATACAGCCACTATGGAGAACAGTATGGATGTTCCTTAAAAAACTAAAAATAGAATTACCATATGACCCAGCAATCCCAGTACTGGGCATATACGCAGAGAAAACCATAATTCAGAAAGACACATGCACCCCAGTGTTCATTGCAGCACTCTTGCATTAGCCAGCACATGGAAGCAACCTAAATGCCGATCGAC